CCTCCTTCTTAAAAAGATTTTGGGTGCTCATGAGAAGATGCTTATCTTTTGCAGGACCAATTCTTTCAATAACAGGCCAGACAGAGCTTTAGGATTTAAGCTGTAAGATTATGTTTTCCATATAGGAACTATTGCCTATTATTTTATCAAGGTATTATTTTTAATATATTATTTAGGACCTTCAACCATCATGGTTTTATCTCCCAGGAATTGGGTGCAGTCCTAAAGGGAACCCCAAATCCTGCATTAACCTCATGCACTGTGTGTTCCTGTGAGCTGGGAGAAGTGATTCAACCTCTTCCCATGTTTCTTTGTCTCCTGCTGCCAAGAGAGTGGCTGGAGGAAAGCACTTGAGTGTGACCACGTTTGTCCTCTTGGGCTTCCCCAACGTGTAGAAGCTGCTCTTTGGGACTGTTATACTCATCTCCATCAGCATGGTGGTGGGGAACCTTATGAAGACCAGCTCTCAGCTTCATGTGCCCATCTCCTTATTTCCTCATAGGAAACATGCTTATTTCCTCCATAGGATGTATCTGGGTGTCTTGCTTTCCTGGATTGGCCTGCTCCATGGAAAGCTGCCACCATGCTGACCTCGAAACAGAGTGTAACTTCATTCCCTGTGATAAGCAGTCAGCCAACTTGGTTCAGTAACAGCCTTTCAAGGCACTGCCTGAGCAGTGCTGGATTTTCCTTGGACACCCTCTGGTGCTGACGACACAGATGCTCCACGCTTCTGGCCATATGTTGTATGCAGACATGTCCAACCTATTTCATGGCTCAAAGACTCTCAGTGTTGTCCGGAACTACCCTATCACTTTATTTCCTTATATCTGTCCATCCAGGCCAAGCTTATTTTCCATCCCAGCTGCAGCTTACTCATGATTTCTCATTCCAGGGTTTGATGGTTGAATCACATTGGTCAAAGGAGCGATAGTATCTAATTGTAGGTTTCCACATCTGAATTAGTCACAGAAGGTTCCCCTTATGGAGACAAGGATGCATCTGGAGGCTTTGATTCAGCTTGGCTCTATTTTAAACATCCATATCAGGGATTTCTTCTGGAAAAAAGTGGATGGTTCTCTCCACTTGCAGTGAAGGGTGATGGGCAGACACAGCTACAATGTGGGTTGTGTTCAGAGCAAACACAGGCCATAGCCTGAAGAGTCAGTTGAAGTAATGGGAAACATCAGCTCACTGTGCTGATGTGTTGGGGTCCTTCAGGAACCCCACTCAAAAGTGAGGAGGTGCAAGCAGCTTTTCATACAACCATGAAATGGTTTGGGTTGGAAGGGAGCTTAAAGCTCGCCCAGTTCTGCCACAGGCAGAAACACCTTCCAGTAGAGCAGGTTGCTGCAATCACCATCCAACCTGTCCTCAATCATTTCTCTTGGTCAATAATGTCTAATGCAGTAGAGCCTCAAAGCTCAGCATGCATAAATCACTTCCTGGACAGAATAGGAAAGCAAAATGGATGTCGGCAGTGTCCTGGCTGTGTGTTTGCTTTTATAAAGGTTGCTAATAGCAGATATTAACTTCTTGACGAGGGGTTTAAATTCTGCATGGATGGATAGGAAATTATTGCCTAGAAGCTACTAGTGTTGGTTTGCTCTTTTTAGAGCCATCAGAAAGGAACTTTTCCCCTTAAACCTGTGCCTAAAGTGGTTTCAGGAAACATGGAGAGGGGCTTAGGACAGGTGCCTGCAGGAACAGGCCAAGGGGAATGGCTTTAACCTGCCTGAGGGGAGAGTGAGATGAGCTCTTAGGCAGAAGCTCTTCCCTGTGAGGGTGCTGAGGCGCTGGCACAGGGTGCCCAGAGAAGCTGTGGCTGCCCCATCCCTGGCAGGGTTCAAGGGCAGGTTGGACACAGGGGCTTGGAGCAAGCTGCTCCAGTGGAAGATGTTGGGTTTGGAGCTGGATGAGCTTTAAGGTCCCTTCCAACACAAACCAGGCTGGGATTCTATGATCCAGGCCCATGAAATTGTCCTTAATACACAAATATGCCAACACACTGACCCTCCAACTCACTGGCTTTGGACATGAGCCATCTCTGTCAAGCAAGGCAGCTGTAGAAGTGAACTTTGTTGTTAACAAAGAAGAAAGTTTCTTTCTTGTTATCCCCAGCTAATTAATCTCTGATGGCTTGTTATGAAGAATGAGGGAAGTCACATCCAAGTCTTCTGAGAAGCTTTTGTGGTGATGAGGAAACTTCCTTGGTAAACCCCAGAAGGTCTCGTTAAAGCTGATGACTCCTGGAAGGGTGCTGGGTCCCCAAGGACCAATTCTTGCTTTGGCAAAGTGAGCAGCATCACTTGTGATGGAAATAGCTGTGACTGCTTGTATTGTGAAAGCCTGGATTTTGATCCTGCTGGAGGGCTTTCTGTGCCCATGCAAGCTTGGTCCTACTCTCTCTGTAAAGACACATCCCTGTCTTCATGACATGTGCAGATCATGTGGTTCTTGCTAATGGGGTGCTTTGTCTCTTCCTGCTTTTGACCCCTAATAAAGGGAGTTGGGGAAGCTCATTGCATTTGTCTTCACTTTTCAGCTTCCTCAAGGACATCTCATACATTGAATTTCTTGTTATTAGTTGTCTTGGGATGGATTTATTTGTGTCTCTCTTTAGTTCTTTACCTGTTAAAAATGTTCTTAAACTGTTAAACTGAGGCAAGTTGAAGTCCACTACATCCATGCTCCATGTCTGACTGGCTTTCATAAATGTGATTTTCCTATCATTATGAATTTGGGATTGGGGAATAAGCATGAGATAGTCAGGTCCCTTCTAGGGTGGTTTGGAATAAGAGGATGTTTTATCACATCCTAGGACAGCTGGTGAGAATGCATGTGGTCCAGAGCAGGTCTGAACATCAGAAGGACATTTATATGCATCTCAGAATAGTTTTGTGTGGATTAAACTAATTCCGGTCAGGATCTGAAGGCTTCCTAGAGGTCAAACTGCATCAGTTGCCCCCTCAAAACTATTTTCAGTTTGTTTTAATCCAAAAGACAGGACAAGAGGAAACGGCCTCAAGCTGCACCAGGGCAGGTTTAGTTGGAGCTGAGGAACAATTCCTGCCCCAGAAGGTGCTCAGGCATTGGAAAGGCTGCCCAGGGCAGGGCTGCAGGCACCGGCTCTGCAAGTGTTCACACATGGTGGAGATGAGGCCTCAGTGCCATTGGTTAGGGATGGCCTTGGCAGTGATGGGAATTGCTGGACTTGATGAAGTTAAAGGTTTTTACCGACCTGGTTGATTCAATGAGTCTAAAAGGAGCCCAGTTCATGCAGCCTGACCCCAGCCTGTGATGGGGATGGAAACACAGTGAGGGAAGGACGCTCTGTGTGTTTGTGTCTTCAAACCTGAACTCTTGAAACTGCTCTCCTTATCTGAACAAATACTAGAGATACAGAAACACACCTTCACTGAGCACAGATAGAGACACAAAGTTCTGATTTAATGACTCAACTATTAATTATCTAAATGTGAAGAAGATGAAACTACCTCAGATCTCCTAATCCCTCCTCCCAACACTCTTAAAAGCTTTTAGTTTTCCTTTCAGTTGGACTAAAACTTCATAAAGGGGGGGAAGAAGGTAATTTAAGTTCCAAGAAACCACTTTCTTTGCATGTTTTCCTATAAGTGGTGGTGGAAACTATCACTTCAGTTGCAGGGAAAGAGACAGATGCAGTGAAATGCCCCAGGTTAGGTTTGGTAGCTCTCCTATGCAAATGTGGTGTCATTTGCTCCATCCTGAAGGGCCAAGGACATTGCGTTGCACTTGACATGTACATCATGCAACCTTCAGAAGGGTTGGGTCGATCTGGAGCAACATCTGAAAGCTCAGAGGGAGACCCAGGGGCCTCTTCAGGGTGTTAATAGTCAATGTTCAGGCAACCGAACTCAGTCCCAGATGCCTTTGTGCTTCTTAACACTGGTTCATGCATGTGCTCATGTGTATGTTTCATTGGTGTAATGGTCTAGGACTCTGAAATTATGTCTGTGTGGTTCAGTACAGCATCATGAAGAAATAACTGGGACAGCTCAGGAATAAGCACACGTTACTTCATGACTTCTGATTGCCCAAATAAGGGGCAAATGCTCTATCCCTGGCAGTGTTCAAGGCCAGGTTGGTCACAGTGGCTTGGAGCAACCTGCTCCAGGGGAAGGTGTACCTGCCCGTGATAGGGGCTTGGGACTGGATGATCTGAAGGTTCTTTCCAATCCAAACCACTCTATGATTCTATGACACATGGAGCCACCACCTGAGCTACTGCTTTGGGCATAAGTTATGAATGTTTAATTCAGATAAATCACAGTGTGAAGGTGATGTGCAACAAACCCAGCCACTGCTAACATCCCACTTTATAGCAGATATAAATTGTATATCGGGAGAGGTGGGAAGGAGAGGAGGTCTGTCTGCACAGTGCCATCTCCTGTCCATCCTAATCAAAAGCAGCGTGACCAGCAGGTCCAAGGAGATGGTCCTGCCCCTCTATTCTGCTCTTCTGAGACCTCATCTGGAGCATTGTGTGCAGTTCTGGTGTCCTCAACATAAAAAGGGCATGGAACTGTTGGAACAAGTCCAGAGGAGGCCACGAGGATGCTCAGGGGACTGGAGCACCTCCTGTATGAAGACAGGCTGAGAAAGTTGGGGCTGTTCAGCCTGGAGAAGAGAAGCTGCGTGGAGACCTCAGAGCAGCTTCCAGTATCTGAAGGGGGCCTATAGGGATGCTGGGCAGGGACTCTTCATTAGGGACTGTAGTGACAGGACAAGGGGTAACGGGTTCAAACGGAAACAGGGGAAGTTTAGATTGGATCTAAAGAAGCAGCTCTTTCCTGTGAGGGTGGTGAGGCACTGGAATGGGTTGCCCAGGGAAGCTGTGACTGCTCCATCCCTGATGGTGTCCAAGGCCAGGCTAGACAGAGCCTTGGGTGACCATGGTCCTGGCAGAGACTGCATCTCTATGAGCGGAGGCACGTGTATTTTGGGGTGTTTTTTGTATACTAGTCAGCACTCTGTGCAGGAAAGCAACAGGATAGACATTAGGGCAGGCAATGCCATTGCTCCAGGCTGCCATGGGCTGCCACTTATCAGGTCTGAAGAAGGCTGTTGAAAATCACCACAGCTGCTGCGATCTGTTCTGGTCAGGCTGCCAAGGAGATCATGGCTTTTATTGCTGTCAACATGGGAATGGAAAGCAAAGGTGTGGATGTAGAAGCTTTTGCAATGTTCTGATTTGTATTCTCAGCTGGTGAAATCAAAGCAGCCAGTGCATGATGTAAGTTAAGGTGGAGAGGACCTCTTCAACATGTTGTCTATTTGAGATAATTTACAAAGAGCTGAGCATCTCCCCCACATCTGTGTTCTGCCTGAGCCTAAACTTAAAACATTCAAGATCGCTTAATTTTCAAGAGTCTCCTAAAGGCCTCCTTCACCTCCTTATTTCTCAGGCTGTAGATCAAGGGGTTCAGCATGGGAGTCACCATGGCGTAGAATACCACAGCCCATTTATCTGCTGCTCTTGAGCTGGGATTTAAGTATGTGAAAAAGGATGCCCCATAGGAGATACTGACAGTGGTGAGGTGGGACGTGCAGGTGGAGAAGGCTTTGCGCTTGCCCTCAGCTGAATTGATGCTCAGGATGGTGGCGATGATGGCCACGTAGGAGAGCAGGATAACCAGGATGCTGAACAGACCAAAGAGAGATGCTGCAGTGGTCAGGATGATGTGGCTGAGGGTGGTGTCAGAGGTGGAGAGCGAGATGAGGGGGGAAATGTCACAGAAGAAGAGGTCGATGGTGCTGGAGCTGCAGAAGGACAGAGTGGACATGCTGATGGTCTGTCCCACACCATTGGTCAGCCCCACGAGGCATGAGCCAGTCACCAGCTGGAAACAGCACTTTGGGGACACAACAAGGGGGTACAGCAGGGGATGGCAAATGGCCACATAGGCCATTGCAGCCAGCAAGAAGTACTCAGTCATCCCAAAAAGTTGAAAGAGGAAGACCTGAGTCTTGCAGCCAGCATAAGCAATGCTCTTCTTCTCTGACATCAAGTCAACCAACATCTTGGGGGTGATGGTGGAGAAACAGAGGTCTACAAAGGCCAGATTGCCCAGGAAATAATACATGGGGGAGTGGAGGAGGTGACTGGCCCTGATTAAGATGATGATGCCCAGGTTGCCCACAATGGTGACAAGGTAGGTGAGCAGGAAGAGCAGGAACAAGTAGACCTGAGTCACGGGGTCCTGTGTGAACCCTGCCAGGCTGAACTCGGTCACTTGGGTGCAATTGCTTTGTGCCATGGGCTGGATGGTGCTTTGTGTGTGAGCTCCTGGCTGGGGGTTTCTTCTCCAAGAGGCAGGGATGTCCCAGGTGGAAAAGCCTCTGTGTGGTGGGAGCTGCTCAGAGACAGTCCTGCAGGATGGAAAGGGAGAGTTCAGGCACAGATCAATGAGGAAGAGGTTGGTGAAAGTCCTGTGCCAGCACAGGTAGAACAAAGGGGTGCTCAAGCAGTTAAACACCATGGCACAACATGGTGTGCGCTCCTCTGGCTCACCTTATGTTGAGCAATGACCTCTGTGGAAAACAATGGGAAGGTTCCACACTCGAGTGGCTTTACCTTAGTGCTGCACTTCATTGCCTGCGTTAGTGCTGAGCCTGTGGCTTGGAGATCATTTGGCTCAACCTGGAACACAAAGAAACATGGTGCTTTCACAGTGCAGAGCTGATCCGTCATCCCCTTGTGGCATTTCCCAACCACCCGCTTCTTCCCTCTCTGCTTCGGTTTTCCTAACTGCAAACTTAATGAATTTCTGAACTACGTGAAGTGCAGTTTAACGGGAATTGGAGCAGCCTGCTCTAGTGAATGGTGACCCTGTCCATGGCAAGGACAAAAAAATGACAAGAAAGTCATCTTTCAGACCTGCCTCACCTCATCAATGGGGAGTACTCTGAATGTCCAGGAAAGCTTCTGGTGCTCATCCAGGAGCCCTCTGTGGTCAGTGAGAAGAGGAAGCCTCCTGAGGGTGTTCTCCACCAGGGTGATCTCCAAACCTGCCTTCTCAGCAGCTGCACTGGGAGCACACAGCACAGGCAGCTCCCTGGGAAGCCCAGAGCATCATCAAGAAGCCCACAACCCTGCAGTAGGGCAGGAGATGGAGACAGGAGCTGCTGGCTGTTGGCAAGAGAGAACCACAGGAGAATGATGGGCTGAAAGATGCTGCCCCTCACTTACATCTCAGCTCTGTCTCTGCTGCCCTCCTCATGCTCTCGGAGATGGATGTGAAGATGAACGTGCCTGGAGCTGTGCAGGGAGCCTGGGAATGAACCAGCATCAGCAAACCCCCTTCCTATTTCAAGTGATGTGGGAATGTGGGACTGTGAATCTCTTTGTGCCCCAGGAGGGTGACAAAGCCCAAAGCAGGTCATTATCTCTTTGTGTTGATTAGTTTGGAGGAGAAGAAGTGTACCCAGAGGAGATGACCTCACCCTGAGTGAGCAGCAGGGCTTTGGGCTCCTTTAAAGCAAAGCACAGAACAAGCCCACCTTTGACATCCACTTTTGGAGCATTTCTGAGGCAGTTACAGCTTCACAAGGGCCATGGTTGACATTATCATAGAATCATGGAATAGTTAGGGTTGGAAAGGACCTTAAGATCATCTAGTTCCAACCCCCCTGCCATGGGCAGGGACACCTCACGCTAAACCACGGCAGGGATCTGCGGGGAACCTCACCGATGGGAACTGGTTCCAGGGTCCATCAGCGATGTCAGTCACCACGTGCAATGAACCAGCTTTCCACCCATCTTCAGTTGCTTGTACTCAAACCAAAGCTCACAATTTTGATTTGCAAAGAGCCAAGAGAAGATTGTGGTGACCTTGCTAATGGTGAGGTAAATGCTGTCCTCTACTTCCTGTCCATGCAAACACCAGTGTTCTCATCATCCAAGGAACTCAGGTTGGTCAGGCATTACTAATCCTTGGTAAATCCATGCTGGCTCCTCATGGTCACCCTCCCGTCCTTCCTCTGCCTGGAGAGGGCTTCCTGGGGGATTTGGTTCTTAACCTCAGTAGGGTGGAGGCAGCCCCAGTCCTTGAGCTCTCCTTGATGATAACATTTGCCTTTTTCCACCCATTGTGCTGGAAAGGCAAGGCAGAAAGGAGAGCTTCATAGAAGCCATGGTTGATATTATCAGGACAGGGAGCTGAGGGCAAAGTCACCGATAAGAGCTGGTACTAGAGTCCATCAGCAATCCCAGCACCACAGGCAATGATCCAGCTCTCCACCCATCTTCAATTCATTGCTCTGAAACCATAGCACACAAGTTTGGCTGCAAAGAGCCAACAGAAGATCTTGATGACCTGTTGACGCGGGAGTCGTGGACAACGCAGAGACGATCAATGCGATCAAGTGATTGCCAAATTTATTACAAAGCCTTAACTCCTTATATACTATTTCTTACATGCACTTACAGTGATTTGGCATATTATGATTGGATACATGTCTTGAAGACCCTTAGTGACTAACATATAATTGGTTAAACACAGGTGTTAGAACTTGACCTCGAAAGCTTGCCAACAGTGCACAGTTCTCATTACCTCAGTGAATTCCAGCTTCTTCTTATCTTGCTTGCTTAAGCTTCTTCGGGCCTCTCATGGCCTTGCTGTATCTTTCAGGATTTTCAGAGTTTATGTACCAATTATCCATTGTCCTGTCAGAACACTGCCTCCGCATCTCCCCCTTTTTGTTTTATATATGGTTTCGATGACTCTACTTGAACAGGGGATTTATCCTAGATCATATCTCCAGTATATGCTGACTACAGGCTGCTGGGCCTGCCCCTTTTTTCTGCTGTATGGATCTCTGATAACAGGGGAGGCCATCCTTCACATCAAGGTCTGGCATGGCATGTGTCCCCACCGCTCCACGCCTGCCAGGTTGCAGCCAACAGGGGAGCTAAAGGTTCTTCTTGGTGGCAAACACAGAGGCCAACCCAGTCTTGCCCTTGACTGTGGCAGAAGGCATTTTGTCAGCCTCAGTCATTGCACCTTGTTGTCAATGTAGAGTTTCACCTGCTTCATCCAGTAACAAGTCGCTACTACAGCAAGGCACACAGAAATTTACATTAGCAGAGTAACTATTACAGGGTGCAGCAGCATGTTGAAGATGCTGATGGCAGTGAAGGACTAGCCAAAGAAATTTCTTACCAGTGGAATTCTCCCACCCTCTTAATTTGCTCCATCACCCGCTTTATAACACTACCATTGTATTAGAATCTTTCTAGCTTTTGCCTTAGCATTTTCTAGCAGCTACTGCAAATTTCCATACTCTAACATCTCTTTTACAAGTGACAGATCTATACAAGGTGTAGTTCCTCATTAGCAACTGGCTAGTAATTACAGGTAGTTTTATAGATAAAATCACAGCCTCTAATAATAGCTACTTCACAAGCACACATATTCAGGATGTTACTTTTCAGTTGCCCCCAAGTGATGTTTTGCAGTCATTTGTTTTTCTCTTCCTCTATCTCATTCTGCTTGGGATATTCACGGTCAGCTCCTGTAGCTGAGGCATCAGGTGTCCAGCTCATGGCAAGGCTTGACAAACTTTGCAGGCAGTCGCCATGGACCTGTAGGCAGGAGGACACAAATATACCCCCTCCTCCAGGTTATCCGTTCTTGAGAAGCAGACAGGTTAAACTGCACATTGATAACCAGTGAGGAGTTTGCTGCATCTTTGCCTCTTTTCCTTTTTTTTTTTTTTTTTTTGTCTCCTCACTCCTCAGGTCTGGCGTCCATCCTGGCCGTTCTGCCGGTGGAGCAACGGGAGCTGAATCGGAGGTCAGCTTTGGTTTTTTGTTTTTTTTTTCCAAAAGTCGCTCACGCTGCTTTGCACAGCTACAGAAGCCAGCCTCCTCGGCAGCAGCTACAGCCGCCTGCCTGCTTCAGCACCAACCATAAATACCTGTCGGCAACCGCACTTTTGCATTAACCCTTTCTTGCCCGAAATGTTAAACTGCTACCGGTTAAAAACTTTTACATGAACCCATCAACAAAAAATACACAGAACACCATCTGCCCTCAGCACACACATACAAACACACACACGTATGGGATCCCACAAGCACGCTCCACACAACTACAATATTTGAAGCACAAAATCCAGACAATCATTACTCCCACTACAGTCCCACGTACACAACGTGGCACAAGGACCCTGTGGAGACTAACAGAAAAACGGCTCCGAGAAGCATCATTGCAGTGCGAGGTGGCAGGCTCAACCTTAGCGGGCATCCCCGCAGAGGCTCTGCCTCCCCCACATCGCATGAGGCTTGGGCTTTTATACTGACCAAAATGCACACTCATTCCAACACAGGTGGCCAGCCTGTGCTGGAAGAAGTGGCCAGCAGTATCTACAAAGTTCTCCAAGGGTTGATAGAAACCTGGACATACTTATATTTACCAACTTCTAGTACATGAGTATCACAGAGAAACTGTATGGGCTCCCCCTGTCAATTGCAAGAAAAATCATAACATATGCAGCTTGAGTATAAGAGGATTTTAACCCATACATGGTCACTGTTTGTCAGGCCTCCTTAACTATTTTGAGATCAAGAGCTTCCCACTCTTTAGCCCCCTGCTGTGTAGTAAACACAGGATATGCAAAGATGCCCATTGCAGAAAATTCCCCAGTAATGTTCACCTCTTTGTTTACCCATTGTTACAACTGAGCATCTCCAGGGCCAGTGAGTCTGAGCAGACCGACCCGGGAGATAAAGAGTCAGGGTCTGGAAGCAGAGGATATAAATCTGGCTCAGATTCAGGGGATTCGGGGGCTGATCCTGCGCCGAACTCAGGGTCTCCGTTGCTCGCAGCTGTGTCTTTCTTATCAGATGTCTCTCGTTCGTTATGTAGCCATCTGCAGACCTGGCTCCTCCGTAACTGAGTTAAAAATTTCCACTCTAGGGCATAGTGGGCTGGAGAGGCTCGCGGCTCCTTTAAATCTTCCACTAGCGCATGATCCCTATTTTCTACTGCGTGCTTCAAAATGGCACTGCAATCGATCCGGCACCGAGGCACCACCCTCTTTCCGCCTTGTATCTTTTTATACAGTTCATTACTTCTCTCCG